GAGGGTGGGTGATGGGTATTGAGGAGGGCACCTTTTGGGATGAGCACTGGGTGTTGTATGGAAACCAATTTGACAATAAATTTCATAAAAAAAAAAAAAAAAAGAGAACTGACCCTCTCACCCTGAACTACACTGACCCCTCACATAGAAAGGCCATCAATGCTGTGACCAAGGGGTTAGACATCACAAGAGATAACCATAGTTCAGTGGGATTTCATTTTAATATAAATAAAAGTTTCTAATAATATGAAATCACCAGGGATTCTGCCACTGTCAAATTCTACAGTTAGAATTAAATGAAAACTGTATTTTTATATCTAACAGTAGAATTCAATGATGTGACCTGCAGATTAGAAGGAGTCAAGTATTTAACCATTTTTGTGTCATGGAGTCAGGGACAGCAATTCGAAATTGGGCATAATGCACACCACCATTGTAGCCAGCAGCGATATACTCAGCAACCTGGCCAAAAATCTCTGGTTATGGTGGAATTACAAGGTTCCTCAAAAAGTTAAAAATAGATCTACCCTATGACCCAGCAATAGCACTGCTAGGAATTGACCCAAGGGATACAGGAGTGCTGATGCACAGGGGCACTTGTACCCCAATGTTTACAGCAGCACTTTCAACAACAGCCGAACTATGGAAAGAGCCTAAATGTCTACCAACTGATGAATGGATAAAGATGTGGTTTGTATATATAATGGAATGCTACCTGGCAATGAGAAAAAATGAAATCTGGCCATTTGCAGCAACGTGGATGGAACCGGAGGGTATTATGCTAAGTGAAATAAGTCAGGCAGAGAAAGACCGATACCATATGTTTTCACTCATATGTGGATCTTGAGAAACTTAACAGAAGACCATGGGGGAGGGAAAGGGGAAAAAAAAAGTTACAGAGAAGGAGAGAGGCAAACCATAAGAGACTTCTAAGGACTGAGAACTGAGGGCTGATGGGAGTTGGGGGAGAGGGGAAAGTGGGTGATGAGCAGGGAGGAGGGCACTTGTTGGGATGAGCACTGGGTGTTGTACGGAAACCAATCTGACAATAAATTATATTAAAAAAACCAAAAACAAAAAAACAAAAAACTCCCAGTTCACCGGGGAATGACACCCTACCAAATGCATGAGATGTTTTGGGTGGTAAAGTCAGGTTAAAATAAGGGAAGTGACTCCCCTGAAAACTTTTAACCTCAAGGAAGAGTTGGAAATAGACACTTTAAAGAGATTCTAAACCATGATATTAACCTTTTTATGTTAAGGGCTCACTCTTGTTTGTGGGTTTTTTTTGTTTGAGAGAATCTCCTATTTGAGATTAAAAATTAAAAATGCTAACTCAAGTAACTGAAATATAGTTGTGGTTATCAAGTTAAAAAAACGCTACTGGAATATATATAAGTGCAGTTAAAAATGTGGACTCAAAGGGATGCCTGGGTGGCTCAGTCAGTTGGGCGTCCGACTTCAGCTCAGGTCATGATCTTGTGGTCTGTGAGTTCAAGCCCCACATCAGGCTCTGCGCTGACAACTGAGCCTGGAGCCTGCTTGAGATTCTGTCTCCATCTCTCTCTGCTCCTCCCCTGCTCTCTCTCTCTCAAAAATAAAATAAAAACATAGAAAAAAAATTTTAATGCATAATCATGCACTCTTAAAAGGAATTGTTGAGATATACAATACTTAAAAATGGAGTAAGATTTGTAAGCCAAACTTAAGGGCCTAAGGAGACACTGAGCTTTTGGACTTCTGGTCATAACAAAAGACTATATTTACCAACCCCAAACTTGTAAAATGGACAAAAGAGGAGACTGACCAATATCTTATTTTTAACTTTATTTTTATTGTTGACACTATTACAGATAGATAGAACAACCACAACCATATTAACAAACCAAAAACCTGTGCACAGAAACAAGATGAAGAAAATATATCAAGATGTTAACCACAGTCTTTGGATGGTGAAAATATGGGTGAGTTTCTCTTCTACATTTCTGTAACTTCAAAGTTTCTATAATGAACACATACAGTGTTTATAATGGTATATATGTAATAAAGGTGGATTACCAAAACACTATGATAGAGACCATTCGAGGAAACCAAGACAAAATATTTCACCATAATCCCACAACGACCACACAACTATTTAATTGTTTTCCATATTTCTTCCCATCTTTGACTCTATGTATACCTATCATTAACACCCTAATTATCATAGACTGGTGCACAGACCGAGATGTTAACAGCAACTGTTGCTGGGTGTTGGGAATATGGGTGAATTACTTTTCTTCTAGTTTTACTGAATTTTCCAAAGTTTGCTATGAGTATGTATTATATTTGTAATGGAGAAATACATACACAAGATTTAATACCAAAACACCAAAGGTCATTCAAGGAATTTGAGACAAAATATTTAACCATAATCCCACAATGACAACACTATTTTAATTATTTTCAGTATTTTTTTCATTTTAGACTTTATGCATACATATTTAACACTGTTATAATCACAAGCTTGTGCACTAAAACAAGATGGAGGAAATAGATCAAGATGTTAACAGTAGTTGTTGGGTGTTGGGAATATGGGTGACTTTTTCCTCTTTTCTAATTTACTATATTTTCCAAATTTTCCTCTGGGTATGTATTATGCTTGTAATGGAAACAAACATAATAAACTTTGTTATAAGAACACTATCATAAGGAACATTTGAAAACATTAAGATGAAAGTGTTTAACCATAATTCCACAAAGGTAACATAACGGCTATTCTGAATACACGTTTTGACACAGTTATAATCATAAACCTGTGCACAGAAACAAGAATAAACAAGATGTTGAAGAGTGTGTATCTGTCTTTGGAAGGTTGGAATATGGATTTTTTTTTCCTCCACTTTTCTGTATTTTCCAAGTGTCTGATGATGTGTTCAAATTATGTTCACAATGGAAACGTGATTATAAACTTTTTAGTAACACTACTATAAAGAACATTCAAAGAATTTAAGAAAATAATGCTCAACTATTAGCCTACAACAACAACAACACAACAGCTTTTGACTATAAGCATACATTTTTAATCAGTTATAATTGTAGTATAAATATAATTCTGTGTCCTGCTTTTTCCACTTAATATTCCGTAAATATATTTCCACGTTGCTACATAACTCTCGATTATCATTTTTAAGCAGCTGCATACAGTCCATGAATACCTTCATGTAATCGTCCTATTGTTTTGGCATTTATGTCATTCCTAATTTTTCACTAACATGAGATTGGAATGGACACCCTGTCATTTGGCAAGTTGTTTTCTGAAAAGGTTCTACCAATTAATACTGCCAACAGCGATCAACCCAAGTTCACCCTGATAACATAACTCTGGTTCCCATCTAAAGGGTCCCCCTCCTGTGCTGTGGGGCCTCGATTCTCCTGTTTTCTTGGCTGTCCATTCCAACCTCAGGTCCTTCGATGCAGCTGGCCCTCACCTATACCAAAAAGGCCCCTTCTTCACTGCCCAGGACATCCGGCTCAATTCATTCCCACCAACCTGGGCTTCCCAGCCCTGCTTCCCATTTTTCCTTCTGTCTGCTTCCCCACCCTCCTAGATCTGGCGATGTATTAGGACTTCCTTCTTTGGCTTCCTCATTTCTGCTTCGTGCTCTCAACCCTACAGCCTTCCTCAACTTTGGCATTCCCTGCAGCTCTGACACACGTTCCCCAAGCCCTAACCACGCGGATCTAGGAGAGGAAGATGTAGACACGTTCCCCCAGCACATAGGTTAATTTTGCTTGCTCAAATTATCTGCTGTTGTCTTTTGCTCACTTAATCTACAGATCCACTTCTAAGGTTTTTTTTTTTTTAATTTTTTTTTTCCAGCCAACTCAAAGCCAAAAAATTTAATAGTCATTATGCAAGGGGAGGGGAAGCAAAAGGAGTACAGGTGGTCCACAGAACAGGACACAGGAAACCTCAAGCTATGAGGTCAATTTGTGATTAAATGGAAAACTGAGGTGATCCGACAAACGTGACACTAGTGGATAGATAGCTCGGAAATACTTAGAAGGGCTGCAAGAGGGAGGAACAGATGGTAAGGAAACAAATTAAGGCTGCTGGGGAACCTGAGTCCATGTTAAGCTTAAGTTGACTGTAAAGAAAGCTTTTTTTGTTGTTTTTTGTGTTTTTTGTGTTTTTTTTTTTTTTAATTTTTAAAATTTAAGTTAGACATGGGGGAGGAGGGTCAGACAGGTGAAGACAAGAAATCAGGTAAGTGATAGAAAGCTCTAAGGATACTAGCTCCTGGGCACCCAGGGTGCAGACTGACTTGTGGCAGTTCACACTACTGAAGCCACGATGCTACTTGTCACTTAAGGCAGGAAGCGCACAAAGGAAGTGATGGAAGTTGTTAGCCTGCATCCTTATTTACAACACAAAAGTCTCTCCCTCTGGTTCTCAACCGTCAGTAGGCACTACTGTGATCTAGTGATGGTTGCAACCCACTCTTTAAAGGCAAAAACGTAGGATTTATAGGGAAAAGCTTCAGTTTTTGTAAATTCATTATCAAACACACATCAGGTTGGTTAAAAAAAAAACAAAACTTGTAATATTTTAGCATGAGAACCACTGCAAGGTACAATGTGGCAACCAACCACTTTGGGTCACAAAAGGCCAATCCACATATTGTAAAGGCTTACACAGCATTAGGTTCCAAAGTGTTGGTGTTGACGAAATGGCTGAAAAGGAAGTTCAAAACACTTCTCTTTTCAAACAGCAAAGAATAAAAGACATTTTACCTTTCATGCTTACACTTGTACAGGAATACTTAAGAGTAAGGAATGACACACAATTACTCGAAACGATACCAATGGGGTCCAAATAATGCACAAGAAGTCTTCCTCAGAATCTAAGATGCTTAGAAATATATTCTAATTTGTTGCTCTCTTCCTCCTCCAAAAAAAAAAAAAAAAAAAATCCGAGTACCAGGTAAGGTACCTCTGCACAGTAAACTGTAACTGTATATCATATCAAATCCAAAGATATGTGATTACTGTTTTGCTACGATATGCTATTTTATATACACTGCAGGGAGCATTATATATAGGTTACAGAAATGTCATTTACAGTTGACTGGGGCGATTTCTGTAGTCTCAAAAACCCCTGGGGTTTTCCCTCAATAAGGTCACTCAGATGCAAGGTATGTGCTAGAGCTTTCCCATATGCACACACTGGTGCTGGATGGGAGACTGCTGGATGGGGGAGAGCTAGATGGGGGAGAGCTGAGACCAAAGCAGTTTCCACCTTTGGTTTCTTTTTAGTCTGAGTTGTCTGATGTTAAAAGTCAGGTGTGTACGTGCCAAGGTAAGTTTCTTCTGACATTGTTATGGATTGGTCTGAAGTCTCTGGTTTAGTAAGGGTCAAGTTCTAAGTGAAGGTTTCCTAACCTTTATACTTATGTTCTCAGCCGGTATGAGTATTCTGGTGTCTAGCGAGGGACAGGCGATCACTGAAAAGCTGCCCACAGACATCACACTTGAAATACTTGTCATCGGCCCTGTCGTTGTCGCTGGTGCTGGTGCTGGCATGTTCAGTGTAGCGGGAGCTTTCCCCATAGACATTTCCAGGCTCAAATATTATCACCCTGGCATGGGTTTTCAGGTGCTCGCCATAGGCAGAGTTGGAAGCAAAGGTTTCTCCGCATTCCCTGCAGTCGTAGTATGGCTCCTCAACCTGAATCTCTTGATCTTCGCCTTCTTCTTCTGGGTCTTCGATCCCTGCCCCATCTGGCTCATCAGCATCTCCCTCTGGCTCTTCAGCTCTTTCCTCTGGGTCTTCGATCCCTGCCCCGTCTGGTTCATCAGCATCTCCATTGGGCTGTTCGGCCTCTCCGTTGGGCTGTTCGGCTTCCCCATCTGGCTCTGCAGCCTCCCCATCTGGTCCCTCGGCCTCTCCATTGGGCTCGGCGGCCTCCACATTGGGCTCGGCAGCCTCCACCTCAGGCTCGGCAGCCTCCACCTCGGGCTCAGCAGCCTCTACGTTTGACCCCTGGATCCGCAGCACTTCTCGTGGAACAAGGACATTGGCTTCCACCTCCTGGGCTCCTTCTTCTTCCTCTTCTTCAAGATGAAGCTTCTGATGCTTGGTGAGAACGGTGTTATGAATAAAGGACTTCCCACAGTCCTTGCATTCATAGAATGGTGAATCTCTTTTGGGGGGCTCAGTAAGAAATGAAGTATGAACAAAAGAGGCCCCATAATCATAGGGCTCGTCTTTCTCGTGAATTCTCATGTGCTCCCTAAGGTCTGACTGATTGAGGAAGGTTTCTCCACATGTTTTACATTCATAGTGTTTCTCTTCGGTTTGACTTCTCTGAAACTCAGTAAGGGCTAAGCCTGGACTCACTGCATCTTCACTTCTCTGGCCCTGTTCCGGTAAATCCTCTCTGGTGTGAATTCTCATATGCTCACCGAGGACAGAGCCATGAATGAAGTCTTGTCCGCACACGTGGCACTGAAGGGATGTTCCTGCAGTGGGATTCTTCTGTGGGGCACGAGGCCTCCGTGGGTTGATGACCAGGGGCTGCACAAAAGGCTCATCATACCTTCTTTGGCCATAAAATTGATCTTGCTCGTGGATTTTCTGATGCTCAAAAAGGAATGAGCTATGAACGAAGGATTCCCCACATGCCGGGCATTCATAGAGCTGCTCTCCAATGTAATCTTTCTGATACTCGCTGACAGAATGGGTGTGGATTACAGAATGGGTGTACTCACGACTATCAATGAGATACTCTCTGCCATGAACTTTCTGATGATCCTTAAGGTCTGCGCGATCCGCAAAGCCTAGCCCACAGTCCTTACAGCCATAGATTGCATCTTCAGGCTCGTCCTGCTCGTCCTGCTCATCTGGCTCATTCTGCCGAGGCTCTTCCGGCCGAGGCCCTTCGAGGCCTATGCCCTGAATAACAGTGTCTCCAAAGAGCTTCCGACCATGGAATTCTTCTCGGGCATAGATTTTCTGATGTGCACCAAGGTCTCCGATGGTGGCAAAGCATTCCCCACACTCCCTGCATCTGTTGCGTACTTGCTGTTCAGCGTAACTTGTCTGCGCTTGCTCCTCGTCATAACTGATTTGTGTCGGTTGCACCATGTAGCTCGTTTGTGCTGCTTGCTGTGTGTAACTCATGTGCCCTGGCTGTACAGCGTAACTCATGTGCATTCCAGAGTAACTCGTCTGCACTGGGTGTTTGGCATAACTCGTTTGCGCTGCTTGGTCAGAGTACCTCATCTGTGATGAGTGTCCAGCATAACTTGTCTGTGGTTGCTGCTCAGCGTAACTCGTCTGTGGATCAGTAGAGACTAAGCTGCGAATTACAGAACGTTCGTAGTTTTTACTTCCAGAGGGCTTCTTTCTATCGTGAATCTTCAGATGCTCAGTGAGGTCGTAGCTACGAACAAAAGATTCTCCACACTCTGGACATTCATAGAATTTCTCTCTAGGGCGAAATGTTTGATGGTCACCAAAACGTAGGGAGTGAATTACAGAGGTCTCATAGTTCCTACGCTCAATGTTTTTCTTCTTCGAACGAGCCTTCTGATGTTCACGGACATTTGAGGTGGGAGTAGATGATTCGCCATCCTTCTTAAGTTCACTGGATCCCTGACTAGTTGGACTTTTCTGAGATTCCATATGGGATACACTTTGTATGACAGAGTCCTTGTAGTTGTTATTCTTACCCCCTTCATTAGGGTTCTCTCTGGCAGGAGTTTTCTGTTGCTTATCATGACGGTCTGAAACAGAAGTGGAGGATTCTCCCTTCTCTTCACATTCAACGACTTCATTTCCATCGCAACTTTTGGGAGGTTTGAAAGCAGCTACACTATGGATAACAGACCTCTCGTATTTCTTTCCTTCAGAGGTATTCTCTCCAGCATGGGCTTTCTGGTGTTCGGTAACACCTGAGCTTTGAATGGTAGACTCTGCAATCACTTTTGGTTTGCTGGGCCCCACTGCACTGTGACTCTTCTCAGCCTTAGCAAAGGCTAAGCTATGAATAACAGACCTCTCATATGGTTTCCTCTCATAGACGTTTTCTTGAGGAGGAACCTTCTGGTTGTCATCAGGGTTAGAGCTGACGGTGAACGCCTTCTGGTCCTCATCATCTTCAGGTGGTCTTGTTATAGTATGACTCTTCTGGGATTCAGTGAAGGGCACGCTATGAATGACAGACTTCTCGTACCCCCTGCCTTCAAAGAGGTTCTTTCGAGAATGAATTTTCTGATGCTCACTGAGGTCTGAGCTTTGCCTAAAGGCATCCCCACCATCTGTAAAGTCATACAGCTTCTCTTTTGGGTACGTCTTCTGACGCCTTTTAAGGGATTGACCAGGAATAAATGTTTCCTCACACACTTTACCCTTACTTTCAAAGAGGTTTCCTCTAGTATGGATCTTCTGATGTTCTTTCAGGGATGAGCTGTGATGGAAGGTCTCCCCACACACCTTACATTCATACATTTTCTCTTTACCATACGTTTTCGGAAGATCATTGGGGGGTGGGCTGGGTTTAAAGCCTTCCCCACGCTCATTATCTTTGTCATCTCTACCATGGATTTTTTGGTGGTCAATTAGGGCAGAGCTATGAAGGAAGGTTTCCTTACACACCTTACATTCATAGAATTTATCTTTCCCATATATTTTCTGGAGCTCACTGAAGGTTGGGCTAGGCATGAATGGCTCCTCATACTCCTCATCATTACATTCTGCAAGATGCTCTCTAGCATGAATTTTCCGATGTTCGGCAAGCGCGGCACTCTTATTAAAGGTTTCCCCACACTCCTTACATTCAAAGCGTTTCCCTCCAGCCTGACTTTTCTGAACCTCACTGACAGCCACACTATGAATAAACGATTCACCATACTCATAGAGATTCTCTCTAGTATGCATGATCTGATGTTCGACAAATTCGGAAATCACACTGAAAGACCTCCCACATTCATCACACACATAGGGCATTGCCCCAAAATCAAGTGGCTGTGACTCAGTGAAGGAGGGGGCGCTAAGGCTGCTCATGCTCATGGCTTTTCTCATTTCACTACATTCAAAAGGTCTCTTCCTTGCATAGCCCTTCTGCTCGTGAGCTGAACCCTTCCCATCTGTGTCAAACTGATAGCGCCTTTTTCTTTCAAGAACTCTCTTTTTGGAAACAAGACTCGAGTTAAAATTAAAGCCTCCCCCAAAGCCATTCCCTTCATAGCCCCTCTCCTGAATCACCGACTCCCTCTTGTTGAACGAAACTTCCTTCCAATCATTGTCTGGCCTTCTGGGGAACCTCTGGGACCGATCGTTAGATTCCCTTGCCCGTCCTGATTTAGAGTTGCGCGAAACGTCCTTGATGAATTTTTCCATGATCACCCCGTGGGAAGATTCATCTTCACAAATTCCCCGCCGATGGGTTGACTTTTTGGTTTCAGGCATAGATTTTAGACCTGAAAAGAAACCCCAAGTGTAAATACTCCCTAATTCCTATACCTGTAACATTGAGACTTCTGTGATGATGGTGTGAATATAAAATCTAACAGGTCTACCAATAACGTATGTACGGCTCCCATCTCATTAACTCAAATGGCCACTAGGTACAACCTGCCTCGTGCTTACCTCGACTGGTGCTTGGGTAGGCACTTCTCTTTGACCTCGATGAATGGCCCTGTGTCATGTGGGAGTGGCCGTCGTCTTCCGCAAGCTGAACCCCTGTTCACAAGAATGATATGACAGCTTACGCTCAAGCTGGGCACAAGACTCATCACCGTAAGATGGTGCCTACCTTCCTAGGAACCACTAAACAGGAGGTGGCCCACGCCCAACTCCTGGAGTGTCTTCTATGTGCAGTCCCATGTCCTTACTGTCCACTCCTCAGCCCATTCTAGCCTGAATTTTATTTTTTAATATGAAGTTTGTTGTCAAATTGGTTTCCATACAATACCCAGTGCTCATCCCAACAGGTGCCCTCCTCAACGCCCATCACCCACCCTCCCCCCCCCCATCAACCCTCAGTTTATTCTCAGTTTTTAAGAGTCTCTTATGGTTTGGCTCCCTCCCTCTCTAACTTTTTTTCTTCCTTCCCCTCCACCATGGTCTTCTATTAAGTTTCTCAGGATCCACGTAAGAGTCAAAACATATGGTATCTGTCTTTCTCTGTATGACTTATTACCTGAATTTTAACTAATTCTCCTGATTCCACCTAGAAATCTGCACAGAGACCATGTCCTGAAATTCAGTGCACCTTTTTCAGTCTTCACCTTCCTGTAATGAACACTTAAATCCTGACACCCTCTTTTTCACTGGCTTCCATGATTCTCTTCCTCTTTCTTGACTCTTCCTCAGCTGTTCCCCTAACACCAGAGCTCCTTGAGGCTCCATTGCCTTGCAAAGCTCTCTCCCCTCAGTGCCAGCCAACTGCCCACTATGCTAGCCAACTTCAAGGGAAGTCCAAACTGGAACTCAGGATCCCATTCTAAGTAGGTATTTAAAAATCCTCACTGCCACCTCTCTAGAAAAAGTACCAACTCGTGGCAAGAGCCATCTCCCCATTCTCCACGACCTTGTACAATACACTCAATATACCCAAAGCCAGAATGATTTCTCAAAAACACATCTCATCATTTATTTCTCTGCTTAAAATATTCCAAAGGCTTCTTATCACCCTTAAAATCCAAACATATTAACATAGAGTCTAATGTCCTACAGCTTTAAGAGTCAGGTGACAAAAAGCTCCAGTAACTGGGTCTCTCTGCTTACCCAGAGAGAGCAGCTTCCTGTAGTTTTCCATGTTGTCCTGAATCGGGTTCTGAGGCTTCCTGTCCTCGGTCAGGTTCACAACGTCCTGGTATGACACGGCATCCTAAAATACCAAACACAGACCTCTCGATGGAGTCCTTCCATGGGTGCCCAAGAGAGAAGAATGCTGGCAATACGGGCGCTACACACACAGATATGTAGAAAGTGCGCACAGTGTCTGGGGTTCTGAGTGATCCAGGGCGAGTTTTACTACGGACCTACTGCGTACCTACCTTGGTGCTAGACTGTGAGGAAGATCCAAAAGACGTATGACACACATTCCTTGCCCTCATGCAGCTTATAATTTGGTTGGAGAGAAAAGACTCATGAAACAATTAGAGAACAATAAACAATAAAGTGGGGTACAGATAATCAGTGCTAAATGGGTTTGGTAGAGGAACTTCAGTGGGGCCTTAAGTGGGAAGACTCTGACACAGAGAAAGGGGGCGGTGGTGTGAGAGCTTCAACAGGCCAAACATGGACTATGCGTGGCATGTGCAGGGACGGAAAACATGTTTCAGCAGGCGTCTGGTCAGGAGGTGGGACTTAAGCCTCCCTCCGCGGTCCCACTGTGTCCTGTGTTCACCTTCACTGCACAACATGGGTACATGCTGTGCTGTTCCAGGTGTGGAGATGTCCCAAATAACCCCGATGGAACCTGAAGCACTGAATGCCTTCATTTTATAGCTGACTTTCCCACCTGCTGAACACGTCTCTAAAAGTCATTTTACAAGTCCCTGAATTACTCGGAAGAGTCTCCTATGCAGGACCTCACAGTACCTTTTCTTACTGATGCCCTAGGACATCAGCAGTCTCAGGGAAGTGTTGTCCCAGGGACCACGGATGGCACGGAGGCCTGGAGATGGATGTAAGGATGGACATAGCACCGTGGGAAGCCCACAGGTTTTGGAACCAGAGAAAACTCAAGGACCAAAGGAGGACTGTACCATTTCTGAGCCATGCAACCTTGGGAACAGAAATCTTTCTAAGCCTCAGGTTCTTCATCTGTAAAATGGGAGAGTCAGCATCAACCCGCCTTGCGATATTACAGGTGAGGGTTTTCTGCAATGGGACGTGTTGTTCAAACATCAAGAAGAATTACATAAAAAAAAAAAAAATGTAAATTACTAAACTACTATGTAAAGACATTTTGATATTGAATTTATTACAGCTCCTTGCTGGGAAGTGGCACGGACACAGCCGTGTGAAATGCGGAAACAAGAGGGCACACACGACAAGATAAACCAGCACATACACTGGGATTTAGAGGAAGGCCTCACTGATGCAACTCCAACATCTAGTGATGAAAAGCAAAAGCCACAGCCAAAACTGAGCAGAGTTTCAAAACTAGAATTCTTTCTGGGTCTGGGCTGAGAAGGCCTAGAATGACGCACAAGCTACAGAAGCTCAGGAGGCTCTAAAACTCGGGACAGGCACCCTGTAGAGCAAACTGGCATCATTTTTGCTGGTTGCCCAGCCCCTGTCCGGTGGCAAGCTCAAGAGCCAAAGCTCCACTAGGCTCAGGTTTGCGACAGTATGTCCTAAGTCCCAGCACTGGCGTATTCTGCTACGCCAGCAGGGACACAGGACATCCGTACTGAGAGGAAGGAAACCAGGGCTCCTGCCCTGGGGCGTTAGCAGAGAGAGCAGAGGAGGTCAAGAACTTGGGAGGCTCAGGGAGTCAGAAAGGTCACCGTCCCCAGTGCTGAGAGACCCCATGGGCAAAGGCAAAAGGGAAGGGTTATTTTTCACACTCTTCTTTCTGTCTGCCTGAGTAAAATAAGAGCACACTGAATTTTGAACTACGCTGTTCTATGAAAGAAAAACAATGCTTTATTTAAGGTAAAGTTAATCTCCATAAGTGGGCGTCCCTATAGTGGCTCGTCACTTAGTATCTGCAGCCAAAACGGCACCTCAACCTGCAGGAGCGCCCACCGAGTTCCACTCGAATGGGTGACACCTGGAGAGTAGGCAGCTCAGAGAGTTACATGCGGCGCTAAAAAAGGATGAGGACTTCCTGCTCTGGGTGCCTCACGATACCATTCGTCTGCCTGCCGCCAGCCTGGCATGCCGGGTTAGGAGTGACCCGCCGCGGCTAGACTCTCGGCCTACACTGACCAGGAGCCAACCCTCACCGGGGTCGAGGAAAGGCATTTAAAGAGCAAAGTAAGACAAAAGCCAATTAGCAACCTCCTCTCATCTTTATTTCATGACTGTTTCAACACCCCCTAAACAACGGCTCGTATCGCTCATCCTCTACAGACAAGTGGGAACGGAGCAGGGCTTGCAAGCCGTGCATGCACACCGCACCACATTCTCGGAGGTAAGGGCGTATCACAGAGCCTTTTTGTTTTCAAAAACCAAGCTTAAGAGTGAGTCTGTTTAGTATTTTTGTCTAGATTCCTAAAATTTTGGCCAATTTGGTTTCTTCGAATAAGATAACAAAATTAGTAGCAAACTAAGTGTGTCACAAACTTAGTTTCCCTGGCACAAGGGACAAGGACATCTGGGCTGGAGGGACAGTCACCTCCGACCCTACCCACCTTCCTCCGCATCCCTTCCCCTGTAACTGCTGCTTTGGGGTGCTCTGCTTCCAACATCTGGACACTGCCGATTCCTCCCTCTCATACACACCTGCATTCCTTATTTCCCAGACAGGGGACCGGTGACAGAGATTTCAGGGTGGGATCCGAAGCCTTCCATCGGCTGATGCCAACTTCTGAGTGCCACTGCAGGAGTGCACTGGGGACTGACCTGAGCTCTCTGCTCGGCTGCAGGACACAAGACCCTTGCAGCCAGGCCCAACCCCACCTTGTGGCTGACTCAGCAATTTTGCCCTCGGGGTTCCCGCCTGCCTGGCCTTTCTGTCTGGTTCCTGTCCCCGGGCCTTCGCCGGAGACCTCCTGACCCTACCTTCACCTGGCCTTCAGAAGTCAAGGGTTACTGCCTTCAAGATGCTTCCTTTCAAATCCAAATCCAAACCACTGGGACAACTGCTTCCCAGCGCTCAATTTTTCCTTCCCGGAGCTCTGCGGAACGAGCATCACACGGTATCCCACGAAGGCTTATTTGTGGGACTGCTGAATTCCTCTCTGTCGTTAAGGCTTGAAGTTTCCAGGGCACGTGGGGACCCAGGCGACCTCAGACACCACGTCACTCCTTGACCTGGGTGAGGTCCTTAGTGCTAAAAGGAGATGCCGGTTCCTCGCACCCGGCTCCCCTTCCTCTCAAAGCCCTTTCCAGGCTGCGGCTCCCCTTCAGAATGCTGGGTCACGAGTGACCCTGCTCCACACAGGTCAGCCCAGATGCCAAGGCCTTTCCCCTCCACCAATCTCCCCAGCATACCGCCTCCTACAACCACTGCCAGAACTGCCGGCACGCGGGCGGTGCCGACAGCGTGCCAGGCATCACATTAAGCCCTTCCTGGATACACATGAATCCCACTCACTCCTCACAGCAGCCCGCTGGCCCAGTCACTGCATCCATTCTTCAAACGAGGAAACCGAGGCTCAGCTTAGTCAAGCAAATGGTCCAAGGCTGCACACCTCGCAGGTGGCAGAGCTGGGCCTCACACCCAGCCCCCGCTGGCTCCAGAGCCTTCGCTCTCTCTTGCCTGTGTGCTGTGTGGATGTACAGCCTCCCTGGTTCCCTGCAGTGGGCCAGAAAGACCCCTGCAACGGTTCTGCTTCCCTGGCTCCATAGGGAACCACCGACATGACCGACGTACCACACGCCACAGTCGTGGGATGGCAAAGTGCTCCTCTGACAATGTGGGTCAATCAGAAAGTAGGCAGGAGTCACCCCAGCCACTTGCCACCTCTGCGGACAGGCCTGGGCTCCATGCAGGGCAGAAGTGCCCCTCTGCGCACCCAGGTGGGATTCTAAGGGTGGATGAGCATACCCTCCTGGGAAAGAAAGGCCTCTCTGCCATGAAATGAAGATGGCCTTTCCAGAAAGAGAGGAGACCTAAGCATACCTGGGATCTTGACTCATAATCCATCACAGAATCCCTACGTTTGCGTTCTCTTTCTGTCGCAAAAGTTGTTTTCTCCATCAGAGGAAGGGAAAGGTCCCGTTGAGGAAGTCCTGGGAAGAGACAAGGCGTCACAGAGGGACAGGGTGTGGTGTGGCCCTGCACGCCCACCAGGGAAGTCCGAGCATGGGACATACTGCCTCTGGGGTTCCTGGGGTATGGCCAGCGGTCCCGAGACCCCAGGTCTCTGCTCCTGCCTCTCCGCTCCCGGTCCCGGTCCCAGTCCAGATCCCAGTCCCGGTCTCGCTCCCGGTCCCACTCCTGGTCCCAGTCCCGGTCCCGGTCACCTGAGAAAGCCAGACATGGAGGAGTTAACACGGTTCTGGGCCATGCAGGATGGGGGCCCTAATCCCCCTCCTCCCTTGAGGAGATGGATCCCACACTGAGGTCTCCAGACTCCCATGCATGACCTGGGCTCTTTTGATTACCCTGGACCCAGAACACCACTTCTGGAGGCTTTGCCCAAGTGCCACGGACGGCAAAGCAAGCGCCACAGCGTGGTTTAGAGGCCGGTCCCCTGCAGACACTTCTGTTGTTTGCTGGCTGCCACACCATCAGCCCCACACTCTGGACCATGACTTCAGACCCGCCTGCCAGTCTCAATGTGCACATGACCCTGCTCCAAAGAGACAAAACACGTGCCCTCCCAAAAGCAAGCTTCCTTTTTAAAAGTTCTTGAAGGACCTTAAAACAGGTTTTATTTTTTTTTATTTTTTATTTTTTTTAAATTTTTTTTTTCAATGTTTGTTTATTTTTGGGACAGAGAGACAGCGCATGAACGGGGGAGGGGCAGAGAGAGAGGGAGACACAGAATCAGAAACAGGCTCCAGGCTCTGAGCCATCAGCCCAGAGACTGACGCGGGGCTCGAACTCACGGACCGCAAGATCGTGACCTGGCTGAAGTCGGACGCTTAACCGACTGCGCCATCCAGGCGCCCCTAAAACAGGTTTTAGAGGCAAAGTAGTGATGAACTCTGCCCCTTCTGGGCCAATTTCAAACAGCTTCAAATACTTTCTCATTATTTAAAAAAAAAATTATATTTCACACCAGACACTGGTGTCTGCTTGGATATAAAAATGTCTCATTCCATCATCAACTGTCCTTCCCCTCAGATCTGCACCGCTGTCTCCACTGATGGTGCCAGGCCCACCATACACTTCTGGGCACTGGGCGGAGCTGGTAGCCGGGGAAGCTGGGCCCAAGTCTGCCCCAATGGCGTAACCTGACACAGTTACTCACTGCAGAATGATGACGCAGAACGTGGCGGTGGGGACTCTGCTCCCTTCCGGCTCATGCTGTCTTCGCTGCGGAGGTCACTGTTGTTGTCATCTGAGAGGACCAGACACTGACTTAATGCTCTATCACCTCTCGCCTGTGTTCTCAAAATAGCTCCCCCGAGTGGAGTCTGCCCTTGCCCCAACCGTGCAACCCCCTGCCTCCCCGGGAAGCTGGAGGGATCTGATCCCCACATTCCTCAGCTTCCTACCACGCCTGGGCAGGCTACGTGGCTGCGACCGCCCTCACCTCCTCTCCACACAGCAGCCACACACAGCTCTCTGGGGTAACACACCCTTTGTGTCATGAAAAGGAGCCCAGGCCAGGGTTGTGAGGTGCACAGAGGCTTGTCAGCTCCTCACAGAGGCCCTCACTGAGGTGTGCCTTTCCTACCCACACCACCTTAAGGCGGCAGTTCTTAACTGGGGCGCTCTACTCCCCGGGGACAGGTGGTAACATCACGTCTGGCTGTCACAGCTGGGGAGGGGTGCAACCGGCATCCTGTGGGTAGTAGAGAGGGGCTAGGGGTGTGTCACTGCACATCCTATGACAGGCTGGCACCCCACGAAGAGAGTGACCTGGCCTCGACTACCAATGGTGCTGCGGCTGTGAACCCCAGGGAGATCATGGCTCCCCAACAGCCTCCACCGTGCCTCACCTCCTGGTTCATACATCTCCTTGTAATTTTCCAGCAGAGTAACTAGCTTCTCACAGTTCTCGGGCTTTTTTGCCCGCACCCAAGGCTTGATCTTTTCTGGAAGGATGGTCAGGTACTGCTCAAGGACCAAGAGCTCGATAATCTCCTCCTTGGTGCGAGTCTCTGGCTGCAGCCAATCGAGGCAGAGGTTTCGGAGTTTGAACAGTGTCTTCCGAGGCCCAACAAATTCCACGTAGAGGAAATTCCGAAACCTCTGATGAAAGAATTCAGGGTCAGTTGCACCTTCTCTTATGGTGGCATCCGGCTCCTTAGTCAAGTCACTGTCAAGCTCATGCACATCTGGGGCCCAAGACTTCTTGGGTTTGGTGGCAGACAAGTACTTTGGAGGCAGCATTTTTCTAAGTGAGATTTTCACTGGAGGAACCAAACATGAGTCAACAGGAAAGACGCAGCAGGCTGTGACAGTCAGTACTCAGGGACCTGTAGATTGCAAGGAGATACACACATGTCCCAGAAGTTGAGGATCAGGCAGCAGTGTGGGGCTGCCCTACAAGGGCATCAACAACACTTTGTGAACAAACCACGGGGGCAGAGATGTGCACACTCGCAATACACAGATGCATGCGCAGCACACGAACATAGCCTCCCACAGGGGTAACAAGCATGACCTCTGGGCACCATCAAAACTGTTTGAGAGTCTCCTCTGCTACTAACGGGTGTCATGACTGTGGGCAACTACTCAACATCCTGGAGTCTGTCCCCTTATCTACACCAGGGAACAACAGCCCTCAACCCTTTTTAAAACTGTGAGATTAAATAAGCTAATATACCTAAAAGGCCTACCAACTCAATGCCCACAATGCTCAAGGTGCCAGGCATTACTAAAAGTGGAGGTTGATTTTTGTTCTCAGCAAAAATGTTAAAGGGGATACAGGGAATGAGGGCCAAACCTACCATTTCTGGTGACTTCTGAACATCTCTATCACTGTGGAAAGTTCTACTGGCCAGAGTGGCAGAGTCTGCAGGTCTGCTCAGGACCCCTTCCCTCGGCACCGCACACCCTTCTGACGAGTGCCTGTCCTGAACCCCAGCCTCGGGCTCTGCTAACACCACCTCCTCCGATAGGTCTCCTGAGCTGCACTATCCATCTCTCAGGTGTTGCAAGCACTCCTCACATGTATTCTTAAATGCTGCAGTTAACTTGCCCCTCTCTGCAGCCTAAACTATAAACTCTACTCAAGGGATTAGAGACTCACTTTTCCAGACTTGTATCCTCTAGTGTCTGCCTGGCACAAAGTCAGGTACCAACAATGGTAGAACAGATTGAAATTAACAGACATAAACCCATTTAAAAACTGGTTTTAGGGGCATCTGGATGGCTCAGTTGGTTAAGCATCCAGCTCTTAGTGTCGGCTCAGGTCATGATCTCACAGTTTCATGAGTTTGAGCCCCGCATGGTGCTCTGTGCTGACAGCGTGGAGCCTACTTGGAATTTTTTCTCTCTCTCCCTCTCTCTCTCTGCCCCTCCCCTGCTCATGCTGTCTCTTTCTCAAAAATAAATAAATAAACTTTAAAAATAAATGAATAAATAAATAAGTAAACAAACAAATAAATAAATAAACATAATAAGTTTTAGATGTAGGCACGCATTATTACATGGCTGAAGAAGCACAGCTAAGTTTCTGGGGAGAGAGAACATCCTGGATTAACCTCTATGCCCTTGCTTCCAAAGAACATTCTGGTGTGTCAGCCACCCTCACCTGCCCACTTTTCTACCAACCCCTCTAGGAAAGAACCAGCTTTGATAATCCTCTGTATTGCTGCATTTATTTACCTAGTTGTCTTTTTATTATCTGCCCCTTCTTTTTAGAAAAACCTCTTAGACTGAGTTTAAAAGCTGATTTTCATCTTTTTTCTAACATAACCAATTAAGGCTATACATTTCCCGTTACCTAAACCATCTCCCTCTGTGGACAGCCACAAATGGTACAAGAAGGTAGGTACTATGGGAAAGAAATTTAGGTTTGGGTGGGTGAATTAATTCACCTGACAGTTTTGTACTTCTGGCTTTACTTCCAAGGAAGAACAAAACAATATGCAGCAAAAATTCTATGCTTTTGTTTTAAATGGAAAACCAGTAAGTTTAAAATTAAAGTTCTTTCTTTAATGTTTAAAGAGAAAACAAGGTGTTTCATTTATCATTGGGGAATAAATGTAGCAAACTCTGCCATGCCCTTTTCCCCCCTGCAGTGATGGGCTTCGGTTCTGCTCACGCACAAACACCACCCCCACACATGCTCTCTCCCACCGCTGTCCTCTGAAGCATCAGCACACACACGCACTCGCGCGCGCGCGCACACACACACACGTCCATCAGGAAGACCCTCAGCAATCAAGCACCGCCTCCCTGTCTGCCCTGCCCTCCTTGAGGACGGGTGACAACAGAGGAGAGGGCATGAGATGGCACCCTGCCAGGCAGAAGACTTCGAAAGCCAGGGAAGGAAAAGGACAAGTATCCAGTCTCTGAGGACTAGAGTGATGCTTGGCTAAGAGGGACAGAGAGACTGCCCCTGACAAGGCAGAGGTCTCAAACCCAGCAGGCCTGAATGGCAAAGATGAAAGGGCAGGAAGCCCAAGATTGCTCTTTGGCATTCATATCCCAGAGCAAACTCCAGTCCCCTAGAAGACGCTAGTGCAACTTCTCAGAGGTGACAGGATACCTTCAGGTATGTAAATCACCTGTTTGGGAAGAGGATCCTTTCCAGAACTTCAGAACAAGCAGCTCTCCCCGGGAACAGAGTCAAAATGCCAGGGACCTGCAGACATTTTAAAGACAAAAATATATGGACAAATAAACATGGAAGAAATGTAAAAAGAGTGTTAGAGAATTAATTCTCCAAATGGCTGTGAATTCAGACAGCATGAGAGGTGAGGACTTATATATCGCCTTCAAGAAAAGGCCAATTCCCAGGTCATAAACCAACAAAGAGAAATAGGAAGCCTTCCCATTGTCTTTATGAAATCAGAATAATTTAAAAAGCCACTACAAAACTAGCATTAACAAACCACAGATCAAATTCAGTTATAAAAGCAGACAAAAATCTCTGGCACTATCACTGTTGAACACTATTCTTCAGAGCTCCAGCCAATTACGAGGCAAGAAAAATGTGAGGCATAAAGAAAGATCTAAAACTATCATTCTCTTTTATGTAAGAGCATTCACTCAGATTTTGTGAATCAATGGAAGCAGACCTGACAATAATTTAATAAGAAAATCACTTACAACAGGCTCCCTAAATATGTATCAGCAATTAAAAATTTTAAATAGTGGGAAGAGAACTGCCATTATAAAGACAGAGAAGATTTAATGAAAGACAATACCATCCACGTGGATAAGATTACAAATTATAATAATAAAAGGCAGTAAATGGAGAGACATAGGATAATCATGGGAGATGTATGGATCTGGCATATTAAAGCTCTAAAACCTCCCCCAAGTTAATCTATATAATTTAATGGAACTTCAAAGAATATTAATGTTGGGGAACTTGGCAATGGTTCCAAAGTTGACCTGGAAGAGTTCCATTTGGTCAATATTTTGAAAATTCACATATCAAAAGACCAACAATCCATACAAAAAATTTAAGAAATATTTTCACGTAATCTCATGGTAAGAAAGTTCTTTTATAATATGCCTGAAGGAGAAAGACTACATAAAAATAACAATGATGGTTGTTTACACCATCAAAACCTAAGAAATAAAACAACAAAAAGACCCACTTGTAACTTATGATAAGAAAGTGGATTCTCTTAGGAATTGTGGTCTAAGTTGACCACACGTAGTCAAGTATCCGGCAGTGGCATGAAACGTGGCATTTACAAACTAGTAAGGAAGGCACACGTTACTTCAGTAAACAGTGGTAGGAAAACTAGCCAATCTTTCACTTGGGGGGAGAAGGTCATACCATACATAAAAATGCTAAAACTAAAATCAAAATAAAATAAATAAAAGATTACTTTTTAGAATTATGGAGCAGGAAAGGGCTCTTCTAACTAGACGATAAAATTGAGAGCTATTAAGGACAACTTTGACTTCATATATGTACTTGTTTACTATGGTAATTTTTCCTCCCAGTACACATATATTTGAAGCATAAACCACCAGCAGGTGAAAACTACATACAGTAACTGTAGGATGAAAAGGTTTGACAGAGAGTCAATAATTTTTCCAAGAAAATACAGGCAGGCAAACCTGACTCAGAAAGCAGAGGAAAATCTAGGGAAGAAATTTAAAAAGATGAAATAATTTAAGGAGCAACTTCCATAAAAGTTCCATGAGCAATGAGTTCACCATGTTATAAAAACCCTTCCAGAGCACAGAAAAGAGATGGAGGACATCTTACTCATTAATAATACTACCGTTTGAACACCCTTAAGAATTCAATCACAAGGTACACGCCAACTTCTACACCAAAAATTCACTCATTTCTTTTCTCAAGAAATTCAGGACTAGAGTAAACAAATTTGATGTTCTTTAAATGTGCTCAAGATTTTCTAACAAGGGCAACAGAACAGCCTGTGGTCAGCAAGAACATTATACATATATATACATATACATATATATATATTTTTTTTTAATTTAACAGGAAAAACTTAAAAAAAAGAATCAGGCCCTAACAACTCCTTCCCACAACTGCAGAGGAAGTTCATTTCAGATCTGAGAGTAAAAAAGGACTTTGAGAACAGAGTAATTGTAAAAATGGACAATGTAAGTATCTGTATGAAAAAGAAATGGGCGTACTCACATAATGCTTATGGCAATGGAGATTTTATGGAGGGCAATTTGGATAACTTCTTGAAATTTTAAATGTACACACCCTGTCCTATAAATTCTATTTCCATGAATTTATTCCAGAAATACATAATCATATATGTCCAAGAATATAGTCACTGAATAGTGCTGACAATGCACAAAATATAGTACATATTCATATAATGATTATGAAACCTTTTAAAATAATGAGCCAATTGTAAATAAATGGATATAAGATGACCTCTAACGTAGTTAAGTGCAAAATGGGACACGAAAATGTGTACAGCATTCTAAGAAACTATAAAAACAGACGTATTTACTTAGACAATTTCTGTAAGAATATATATGAGACTAGTAATAGTGATTAATAGTGATCACCCCTGGGGAAGGGAACTGGGGGCCAGGGAAAGAAGGGAAACTTACTTTTTCACTGTATAGTCTCCTTTTGTTTTTTGTTTTTATTTATTTATTTTTTACCATGAGCATGTATTACCTAGTCAAAAAAATAAATTCAAAGTTAAAACAAAACAATAAACAAAAGCACTAGTAGAGGCCTTAGAGACTGTGCTGCCCACTGAGTGGGTTCACGCAACCCTGACACCTTAACACTGAGGGGGTCTCCTCCCTTCCCTGCCTATCCCACCCTGCTGGAGTCCAAGGTCATATTCTAAACCAGATGGCAGGCAATTTAGAAACCCCCAAAGAATCAAGTCTGGAACTTCTGAAACCAAGAATCACATAAGGAAATTGCAGCTATAAGTTGAATATACTCCCCAGATCTCCAGCAGTTATTAATACATAATTGTAAGGTCATCCCCTATCCTAGGGATTCTGAAATCTAACTGATAGACCTGTCTGCCCATGTGCACAGAGGTACAGATCTCAAGTGTGTTCAGAGAGGCACTGTGTGCAACAGCAAAGAACAGGGACAGGAAGGAGAAGGCCCAAGCATAATTCCAATGCCAGAGCCCACCAAAAGACCACTCACTCACTACTCAGCAGATGGGAAAATAAAAATGGGTACAAATTTTCTGTGCTATAAGATGCAACCAAAATAAAAACAAACCAGAAGAAGAGGGGGGAAATATTTTGCAACATAGACAACAGTTAATATCTCAAATGTGAGAAGCTCTTAGAAACCAATAAGAGAAATGTCTACCCGTGAAAATAAAAAATACAGTTCATAAAATTAGTGATAAGTTCCAACAGTCACATCGGAATCAAAGAAATGTGAAATATTACAGTCAACACCTTTTTGGCCTATCAAATGGGCAGATATTTCAAAAATAATCAAAAAGAAAAACTGATGTTGGTGAGAAGCTGGCTGGTGCAGGCATGAACCATAATTCTGGATGCCATTTCAGCCTATGTTTTAAAAACATTAAAAATGCCCATTCCTTTTGAACCAGCAAGTCTCCACTTAAGGACAGTCAAGTAGGTAAAATATTAGTAAGAAAAAAAAAAAGCTATGGGGCGCCTGGGTGGCTCAGTCGGTTAAGTGTCCGACTTCAGCTCAGGTCACGATCTCGCGGTCCGTGAGTTCGAGCCCCGCGTTGGGCTCTGGGCTGACAGCTCAGAGCCTGGAGCCTGCTTCCGATTCTGTGTCTCCCTCTCTCTCTGCCCCTCCCCCATTCGTGCTCTGTCTCTCTCTGTCTCAAAAATAAATAAACGTTAAAAAAAAAAAAAAAAAAGCTAAAAAGTCAGGTGCCCACTACAATAAAGTCCTTATATATACACCTAATTTCCAGTTTATAAAAGGTAACACATGCAGCACTAAAGAGCTGCTGCAGTAAATGATGGCAGGTGACGCCATTTTACACATGGAGCCATGGGAAGGGACAAGCACATGTCAGAAAAGTGTTAAGCACATGTCAGAAAAGTGTTATGTTGCTAACGTGTTCTTGTATAACTATGGTCCTAACACGGGGCACAGATCCTGTCTCAAGAGTCAAACTCCGGAAAAGGAGACACTGATCGACATACTCCTACAGCGGTACCTGACAGCAGGTGAGTCTTGTGAGATGAGGTTAGGTGCCATCCTGGCCAAGTGACCCAACCTTTACCCCTTACTCACTCTGTTTACAGACCAAAGGGCAACTCAGAGTGGGGCCAGATGTGCTGTGCTAGTACTTGCCAGGGTCCCATACTCACCTTACCCTCAGGAAGACCCAGATCTCAGGTGAACTCGTCCTGTGACAGCGCCTCTGGCCAATCAAAAGCATAACTGCTCTACCCACTTCGCCCCCACTTCCCCAGTCCAGCTTCTGCCTCCATGGCAACAGCCACGCCTACCGTTGAAGAAAACAGAAGATACAGGTTTGGAGGTAGCTGAGACGAAAGCATCACAAAGGAGCCGAGTAAAGGTTTGTCTGAAACGATCGCATGAAATGTTGGGGCTGAGGGGGTAGCCTGTCCAAGGACAGACCAGAAAGGCCAACAATAACAATTTACCCATATGATCAGAGATGTGCCTGAAGATGCGTGAACCTAGTAGAACTGAGAGTGCCTGCACTTAAACCCAAAGTCTCTGAGGGCAAAGCCTCTGCTGCCTTTTTCCACCATTGTATTTTTATCTCACAGGACTGGCACATAGGTGTTCAATAAACAGTTTTTTGCACTTAGATGCAAAAATGTTTAATAAATCCAATCTAGAAAAGTCTAGCCCATTCCAGTAATACAAAGGAAGATATCCCAATTCCAGGGGACTGTTCTATACGATGGATTATAAGGGGAAAGGGATCCTGTGAGCATTGTTTCGTGTTAAAAAGCATTTGCAAACTTCAACAGCCTCTCCTTATAGTGTTCTTAGCAAAGAGCACAACTAGGAGGCCACCTATGAACAATAGAGATATATCTCAAATAAAAGCAAGCAAGCATATTAAACACTAAAGGTATTCCAACTAAAAATGGGGGCCAGGAAGGGAGGACCTCCACCACAACCACCATGCAACACTATTCTGGAAAAACCTGGCTAACACAACTGAAGAAGAAGAAACGAAAAGCATAATGTGGAAAAAGCATTATTTTGAGCTAAAAGACCTTGTCACTAAATACAAGAAAAGAATCCCATTAATAGCAAAATAAATAAATTCTCATAAATAAATTCAAACTATCTGCAACTCCAAACAAAAATTTTTTAAATGTCTAGGACATAACACAAATCCTAAATACATGAAGACATATGTTTTTGGATGGGAATGTGGAAATTGTTGTCAATCCTTCCTTGAACATACATTAAAATCCAATGAAAGGATGGGAAGCTTTGATAAACTGAGAATCCAGTTCCTCTAAAGAATAAAGGTACAAAACTATCAGGACAATCCTGAATAAGGTATGTATCTGGTGGGGGCAATGTGTTGTCTGTAAAATGACCCAAACATATGGAAACGTACAGTATTCTTTCCAACACAATGACGCAAGTGTCAAAACAAATACACTTAACCGAGCTAACACAGTCCAAAACCTGACTTGCATGAAAGTGTACACACACATGGGATTTAGTTTACAATAAAGAAAGGTCTTTAAATCAAAAAGAGCATTAACTGTTTAAATACAAACTATGAACTCTCTGAGGACTAAGTGGTAAAGAATAATTTTAACAAAAGTGATGAGAGGGGATGGCCAACACTTTAATTTCTGACCAGTTATTCAAGCATGCATTTCCAAGAAGGTTGGGACGGCCTCTGGCATTAGGAAAGCACCACAAACCAGTGCTGGGGTCTGGCCTCCTGCCAAGCAATTCTGTATGTCAACAACGCATCACTGGAAGCCTAAGGCCACAAAGGCCAATAATCTACTTTGCTCTCATTAAAATAAATCAGTGCCCTCAAAAAACAGCATTCCTCCAAAATTTTCATCAAACAGGAAGGAATGAAAACGTAAATATCTTTAATAGAATGCTATGTAGCCATTAAGTCATGTTTTCAAGAAGTTTTTTAACATTATTTTCTGATTGCAAACATAAAAGATAATACGACTTTCAAACATTACAAAATATTTAATGTAGAAACCACAAGCCACATCCACTGATCAAATTTGTTGCTATACTAAACCTTTTGACATCCATATATAGAGTAGCATCAAATTTTTACCCAAATGAGATCACATTAGGTGTTCTGCATGTGTGTGCTTTTAACTTTTATTTTTTCCAGTAAACTTTATGCCCAATGTGGGGCTGGAACTCACAACCCCAAAATCAAGACTCGCGTGCTCTGCCGACCCTGCCAGCCAGGCGTCCCTTGTGTATGTATTTCAAAACCTAGTAATTTATGATGGTTACCTTTCTATACTAGTACATATAGATCTACATCATTCTGAAGGCCACATAATATTCCATTCTACAGGTACACTGGTTTATTTAAACTCGGTGAAACCACTAATGTAAAAAAACTTTTAGGGGCGCCTGGGTGGCGCAGTCGGTTAAGCGTCCGACTTCAGCCAGGTCACGATCTCGCGGTCCGTGAGTT